GGAAAGAGCACACGGGCAAAAAATGTGCAAACGTAAGTATCAAGGCTCAGCTTGTCCCCACCTTTTTAGAGTTAGAGTTGAAAGTCAGTCCATGGTGCAGCCTGGGGCTGCGGCAGAGCTTGTGATGCCTGCTGGGGGGGAAGGCACAGCCAGGCACGCAGCCCGCCCCGAACCTCCTGGTGCCCACCCCAGCGCTCCCAACCCCTCCTGAAGCCACGGCAGCTCAGAGGGAGAACTCCGCTGGCTTTCGGTAACTGCCGAATGTGCCCTGACCCCCCTCCAGAGCAATGAATTCTACGCTGGATGACACTCCCTTATCGGTGTATTAAAACATATTCCTCACGTGGCCGCACTCAGCGCTAGGCTAAAATCAATTCAGTCATGCACAGCCCAGCCACATCACGAGCAGCAGCAATACCAAACGCTAAGGCTGTACAATGGTAAGAGCAAGATGATTTATTATATACTGAAGAAGAAAAGAAGAAAAAGAAGGAAAAAAAAATAATCATTTTCATCAACTATTCCCTCACGGGGGTCAGTACAATATAAAGAAAATAAGGATAAATGTACAAAACCAACCCGACAAGGAGGCTCTAGATGAAACACGTTCAAAGCACCTGCAAATGATGCTGCTGGGCAGATGCAGAAGGACATTAAACCAAGTCATTTCTCCCCCTGCAAAACACAGACTGAAAAACTGATTTTATTTTTTAAAATCCACAGTCCTGCCTTTACCTGCAGACACTTTGGGTAGAAAGATGCCATTTTAACCACGACACATTTGATAAAGGAGAGATTCCCAAAACTCCCATTTGACCACATCTATTTGAAAGTGGACTTCTTTTTCACTTCCAACTTCATGCAGATGGCAAAGCAGCCAGCCCAGCTCAGAACAGAAGCTTAGCCACGAACTTGAAAGAAACCAGGCCCAAATATCTCCATTTTCTCCCAATCCTTTGGCAACCATGGCATTTGTTTTTCCATAATCGGCAACAGATGTCTGTCTCATCCAGAGCATCCTTGTATATATGGGTGTAAACTTTAAAAACAAAACCCCACAAAACAAAAACACACATATATGAGAAAACATCAGCAGTATGAAATTCCTGAAGGGTTTCAAGGCTTGCTCTTACTCAACTAAAGTCAACGTACTTCCAACTATTTTAGCTGGAGCAGGACCAAATCCTGACAGAACCGGATTACACATTCCTCAAAAAGCAAAACCTTAAGAGTGTTTTAACCCAAACACAGGAGTAAGAGACAAATTTCAGCGACGTACCTTGCCTGGCCCTAGCCAATGTAGCGTATTTAGCTGGGGTATTTCATTTACTCCTGGCTCGGGCAAGATTCCCATTGGTTACAGTGAGAGCATCACTTAAGTAAGGTAGCAAAAGGACATCATGCATTAGTAAGCTAAAATATGAATCCGTGCTTACGGCAATAGCTTTCCCTTCTAATGCCCTATAATGGGCACCTAGAAAAGGAAAAAAAGACAAGAAGCTTTACAGAAAAAAAAAAATTAAAAAAATCTGCATTTTGTTACATTGCTGACCATCCTCAGCAACTCCACAGAAGTCTTCAGGGTTCCTTCTGATGTATGTGAAGAAAGCAAAAGTCAAAAATAGACGGACGTTAGGCAAGACTGTAACACAGTTACTCGTTAGTGCAGAATGCAAAGTAACAGCTACTGCTCAATACAAAATAGCATCACTTTCATACTCCTCACAAATACACGGATTCCACAGAGTTCACTTCCTTGCCTTAAAAGAAATGCTTAAATGTTGTATGAACTTCATGTGCCTCTAAAAGTCCCAAGTTACCAAAGGAACCATTGGAGCTAAAAAAAACCAAAAAACCCACCCAAATTAGAAATGGACATTTAAGAGCGAGTTGCAAGGAAATCCCCATTTTGTACGGCATGAAAAGAAACAAAGAAGATCCGCTGGCTGGATTTGGGTTGGGGGTTTTGGTTTGGGGTGGGTTTTGTTGTTTGGGTTTTTTTTTCATCAAGGGAAAGAAAACAATACATACATGGGAGGGAAAACATTTTCACAAATATAATAAATACCTGTTCTGATCCAAAAGCAAAGTGCGATGTCGAGTTTTCTATTTGAACAAAAACAACCTACAGAATAATGCTTTAAATATTAACAAATCAATCAGTGGTCAGCACAGTAAAATAAATACAAACACATTGATTTATATTTTGTTCCTAGCAGCAAAGGTCATTAACCTACTGGCCAATGTGACAGCTTCACAGAAGTCCTATTTCTCGGGTCTGGTACTTTGTTTAACATGAGAAAAAGATTCAATGGGCCTGAGAGATGGTACTCGAGCCGTACAGTGTTCTCCCCAGCCCATCTGTGTCAAACAGGGTTTGGCCAGAACGTGTTTTCAATGTATGTTTTGAACACCGATTTCGAGAACAGCTTTCACAAAATAAAAAATAAAATCGGGGTCCACCCAGTTTCTCACACTGACACATATGAGCTTGGACTGGCCTGAACCCTGATGCTATTAGTGAGGTGGGGCGTTTTCTCTTTGCAGTCAACAGTTTTCTATGCTGGAGGGAGAGTGGGAAGGTCACAAACCGTTAAGGTATAAACTTCACACCTGCTGTATAACCCACCACCTTCAGATTCTCAGGATGATGGCGTTCACTCGTTGCACTCCCTTGCACAAGACAAAGCAGCTACAGGCCTCTCTGTTCGGGGCCGTTCCTCAAAACCAGACTCAGACCCTTGCAGAGAGCAGCCTGTGGGCACAGCCCCCGGCACCTCCCTCGCACGCCCTGGCACACCGGCGTGGGTTGCACCAGCCCTTACCACGGGGGAACAACGGCATGTGGAGCAAACTGAGCTTTGACATCTCCAGCAGGCACTGGAAGTGCCGAGTGAGGAACAGATCGCTGCGCCGGGCGCAGGAGCAGCAACCGAAGTGGTGAACAGCTGATTTCTGAGACGCGTGAAAGCAGACTAAAATGCCTTCTTGGCCCTGGCAGTAAGCTAGACAACACCAGTACCTATAGCTTCTCCAGCTCCTATTTTACAAAGCGTTGGGTTTCTGCTACTAATTGCAGCCTGTGGGAAATGCCACGCTTTAGTTTACAGCAAGAGGGATGTTTAACCATAATGCAGGGATCACTCTGGTGAAACACATCCTGGTAAGGCTCATCCAGCTCCCTCCGTCCCTGCACAGTGGTGTCAGACTAGCAAAACACAAGACAGAAGACAAATTGAAAACCAGAGCCCTTCTTTGACTGCAAAAGATGAGGGGAAAAGGCTGATGAGAGATTTTTGCAAGGGGAATGTTCTTCAAGGCCACACAGAGGGTGAGCCAGGGGCAGGAAAGCACAGAAGAAATGGACTCACAGGCTGCCAAAACTGCTTGCTTAGTGCTTTGCAACCTGGGCACCGCTCCTCCTACCTTCTAACGCACTCCAGTACACAAACCCTGTTTAACTGGGCTTTGCACAAAGGAGGGAAGGGAATCCCATTCAAGAGGGTACCCATTGCTCTGCCTGGAGCTGCAGGGCAAGGATCAGCATGGAATGATAGGTAGGGGGTTGCTTTCGACTACTGCACAAGAGCTCACCTTGCCTGGATTTAGGATGGCTGCGTTAAGGTTGCACGGCTACCCGATGCTCAGGTAGCTAAAGATAATGATATTCTATTTCTGAGGAGCAGCCGAGTGCAGCAAACCTCTTTGAGGTGGACTTAGAAAGATGAATAAAAACTACCTGGATTTTTTGTTAGTTTACTCATTTTTTAAGGCAAGCAGAAATCCTTCCAGAATGCAAGAGGCAGAATCAGAATGGCAAAAAAAGGGGCTGGGAGAGCCACCTTCAATATGACGCACTAGGTAAAGTTTCTCCCTGGTAAAAAGCTACTGAAACCATTGGAGCCGCATCTAATTCAAGCTGCTGCCTAACGAGGGGTGAGACAAGCCGTGGCGCTTCCTTTGCCCCCTCCCTGCACCCGCCACTGAAGTCAGTGAAGCTGTACCAGCGCACAGCCGTAGCAGCGCAGTGGTGAATCAGGTCCAGCGGAGGTTGCCTACAGGCTGCACTTGCCACTGGAGCCAACATCTGAGGAACACCGTGGACTGGATTCCGATCACAGCTCCACACATCTACCCAAACAGGCAGAAAAATAAGAGCCCTACTTCTGCTCTTTATCTTCTTTCTACTTTTGCTAAGGAAAATCAAAAGACACACACCCTTTGGGCTTGTCTACACTTACAAAGCTGCTTAACAAGCTTCATGAATACTTCTGCGTGGCCAAAAAGCTGTTACTCAATCAATCATCATCCCTGACATTTACATCCTACCTAACTCTGGATTTTTCATGGTCCCTAAAACTGTGAAGTTCACATCAAGGAATGGAATTGAAGCCCATTCTGAGATGGGAAAAGAAAGAGGGAAAAAAATTCATCCAATATTGGTAGCTCTCGTTCAAAGGAGCATTTCTCCTCTCCTCTGTAACCCACTGGGTCTTGTCCAGGGAATGGCATGGAAGCGGGACACGCCGGTATCTGCTCCCCAGGGTCCAGGCAGCCCTGCCCTCCCAGGGCAGCAGAGCTGCGGGCCAGAGACCAACACTGGCTCTCTTCTACATCAGTATGCAAAGAAATTACAGCTGACAGCTCCTTCCGACCTATTCTCAACCCTACCCAGTCTAAGGCAGCATCAGAACAGAGCACATCTCATCTGAGCGGGTTTGCTTTCCAATTCGCTTCATTAAGCCACCGAGACCCCCCCAGACTCTCTTCAAGGAGCTACACCCATGGTGCACTGAGGTGCCCAGCCAACAACACTGAGAATCTCTTTTCGTTGTTAACTGGTAGAAGAGAATATTTCTGGATGTGGCTAATCAGCTGATATCTAATGTCAGATCTTCAGAATGAAATCTGCAGCACAGAGGAAGCAGTAAGAGGCATGACCCTCCGAGGAGGAGAGGCACGCACAGCCTTTCTGCAGGGGTGTGGGAAGAACTTACTCTGGGCTGTAATGGAGGCCAAAGCAGCAATTTGTGGACAAGTACACCACCTAATTCACACATTCACAGGCCCCATCCCTGCCCCTCCTTTACAAGCTGCCCAGAGACTCAGTCTGCTGTAGGGAGGCATTCCGGAGCGCTGCTCTATGGCGTGCAAAGAGGGGAGCAGGCTTTGCACATGGTCCACCTGTGTGGGAGAACCACAGAAGTTCCCAGCACTTCTTGGGCTTCGCATATTCATGCAGAAGGCCGGGGAGAAGACATAAAGTCCTCCCCGTCACTCAATACAATGAAGAGCCTTAGATAATTAGCAAACAAACATCAAAAACACTTCATGTCCTGCACAGCGTCATCCTGCCAACTATGATAGAAAAAAAATCTAACCATACCATTAAGTTTGCAGGTGTTACATGTATAGCTCGAGAGCATACTCCTATCAAATGGAGCACAAAGCAGGGCATGTGGCAAACAGCAGGCGAGAGACAAGCTGCTCTATTTGCAAACTACTACCGAGGGTGGTGCATCATTGTACATAGCCTAGGTTCTCCATCTCGTTCCTATACCGCTGTTCGGACACCTTGCTTTTATGCTGTTTGCTTTCTAAGTGTTGTCTGAACTCCATCTCCTCGCTGGCCCCGGCGTTGCACATGGAGCAGTAGAACTGGCCACTGGGGGTGACGCACATGGCCAGATCCCGAGGAATCCTCTGGCGTGAGCGGGGATTGAAGTAGGGACCTGAGGAGACAACAGGAAAGCCGGTTTTATCTACAAGACAGAAAAGCTTGAGGCACCTCAGTGACAACTTCTAAGTCCAACAAATGTTTAAAAAGAAGCCAAAGATTAGCTTCTTTGACTGATTAGAGTCTGAACCTTCTTTTCCCACCAGCCTTCTCCACCGAGATCCAGATTTACAGGGGGGCAGCACACAGGGGAGCAGTACTTGCTGGTATTTTCTAAAGCAGTAGAATGGGCTTAGTGCCCTGGTCTTACTAAGAATCAATAGGGCTTTGAAAATTAGGGGTGGAATCATTTAAGTGATGAATCAAGTCTTTTTTTTCTTAACCCTCCAATTCCAGAATTAGAACAGTTTTTTGATTAGAATAAGCTGCCTCCGTTCAAAACTATCACAAATCAACATTTAATACAACTTTAGAAGATTTATCTTTTCCATGTGACAGTGGTTAGAATGACAGAACTAAACCAAGCTTCACCAGGGTTTCAGCTAATATGTGCTCGTCGCACAACTTGAAATGAAAAAGAGAAACAGCTGCTGGGCTGGACACTCTAAAACACCCTTTAAATCACAGTAAAGAGGCAGAGTTCGTATCTAACACCCGAGGAAGGACTCGACTCTAGGAACAGATGGTCTTAGAGGGAGGCTAACGCGCTCGCTCATTCTGGTCATGGGAGCGCACGTACAGGTTGATGTGCTACGGTAGGAGTCAAAGCACCTGGCCACTTGCCAAGAAAATAAAGCCGGGAAATTGTCACCACTTAGAGCAGCCTTAGAGATGGGCAGATGGTAAATTAAGTTACAAACTGAGAAACCGAACTAACAAGCAGGCTGACAAAACAAAGCAACTTTAGCAGCTGGGAAAAAAAAACCCATGCAGACGTGAAGGATCAGCAGAGCTAGGACCAGCTCCTTTCACAGCCTGTCTCCGCTAAACAGACCTCAGAAACAGGAGAAAAACAAACCTGTTTGTTATTCATTATTATTCCAACAGAAGCAAGCTCCCAGTTACCTGTGTTGTTTTGAACTGTATACATATTTCTTCTGTTCTGCATCATTTTATATTCATTCCCTTCTTTCCTTGCCCTCCGTTTGCCTAGTTCTGATGCATCCCTGAAGATTAAACAAATATGAACAGCTGCAATTCAGAGTTTTCTGAGAAAATGACCGCCAGAGAGACTGCCACATGCTTTCAGCCTGAGCATGAAGTTGAACAATACCTACGAGAATGAGTTATTCTGTGCTTCTGCAAGACGCAGCCGTTTGGCATGATTTTTCCCTTGGTAGTGAGCCTGTGCCACAGCCGGAGAACTAAATGAGGCATCACAAAGCTTGCAGTAATCGTTCTCTGTGGCCAAGATCACTCGGCCACCTGGTTTACTGGATCCCATCTAGCAGCAAAGGGAGAGACAGCATGTGAAACACAAGAAGGTTAAATCGTTGAAATAGCTGAATTGCAGGGACTGAGACCAGTATCATCTTCATCAGGCAACAAGAGAGCTGGAATTAGAGCATATGGGTTAGGACACTCTCAAGCGCTCCCCAAACTGTTCTTACAAGAACTGCACTTCCCCTGCCTCACCCTCCAGGAGAATCTGCAAACCCCTCGAGACCTAGGCAAACCCCTGGCCTCAGACCGAGGGGAAAGCAGCCAGAACAAACGTCCTGTACCTCTGCAACAGCTCCCGAGGCTGGCTTACTTCACAGCAGTGATTTAACTCCTCTACTCCTGACTGCTGGGAGCTGACAAACAGCGACTTTCACCCTGGGGAAGACCCACAGAAAGGTACAGGTGCTCCCCTCTCCTATTTGCAGCGTACCGAATCTCTCCACAGCTCCCTGACCAAACTAAGAGATAAAACCCCAACCCCAACGGCATAGCTGCCAACCCTCTGATCTTTACCCTTGTGTCCTTTACCTCCAGGACACCTGGATCAAGAGTTCAGAGGAAGGACCCAGCCTCACACGCCATACGAAGGACACCTTGCCTGCCTAGTGAGACCACACACCGACCAGAGCAGCAGCCACGTCTCCTCGGTGCGTATCATCCAGAGAAAACTGCTTTGCAAACAGTGCAGCAGCAGCGATTCGTACAGCCGTGTCACTGCGGCACTTGCCAAGTCCAGGTTCTTTCATGTCCCCTTTGATACTGCTCAAGCTTATAGATGCGTGCACACAATTCTGACATTACAATATGAAGCCTCACATGGCCCCAGAGGGGTCTTTTTATTGCCATGGACCATTTTCTCCATTAAACCCCCCCCCAGCCAATACCCTAGCAGGTACAGCACCCACGTCCCACTACCTAGGACTGGACTCTGTGCCCTCCCAATTCAGTGCTGTGAGCCACAAAGTCATTTTAGATGGGACTGAGCCTCCCCCTCTGGCGGCTCCGACAGCCCGGGTAACCGTGCCACCTTCAGCAAACGCTCCTTGCTTTTGTACAGACAACAGAGGCTTATGCATTTGGGAATGGCAGGCACAGCTTCGACCCCTAGCTGTGGTTCCCTGCACGGTCACACGCAAAAGCCAGGTTAGCTGTTAAGTCCTGTGACAATCAGAAGTGACGGATTCTAGAAGAAGAAAGCAAAAATCATCTCTTTTGTCTCTAACATGCCTGAGACAGAATCAATCTGGATCACTGAGGGAACTATCCATTCACTCTACACACAGGAATGAGCACAGCGAAAGGCACAACAAAAGAGGAATTAGATAACAGCCCTGGGCAATGGGTGTAGGAGCCCTAAGCACTTTTTCCACCCAGGCTTCCCTCGCACAATGGAGGGATGATTGTGCAGAGCGGACACCACACCCTCCCGTCCGGATCCAGCTCCAACAACGCTGCTTTATACCTGCCCTTGGACCATCAGCAGCACCACATCAGACTTACCTAGGAATCAAGGTATTTGCCATACAGAAATAGAGCATTTCAAGTCTGATATTCTGCTGCAAGCGCAGATCAATAGCTGCGTCTTCAAAGGAAAGCAAACAGCTCACAGCAGGCCACTGCCACCATCCTGCGCATCGCAAGGGAAATGCTTTCCCAGCCTCGGCAGCAAGCCTCAGACCGCGAGATCTAGTTATCCTTACTGGGGGTTAGGTGACAAGTTAGCAGCATGATCTCAGTCACCTCCCCATGCCTTACCTGAGCTGGAAGGGAGACAACCTGAGGTGGGGCAGGCTCAACCGAATTACTCATTCTGGCAGGTGCCGGGCAGCTATTGGCAGCATAGTAATTTCGGAGTTTCTTACTGTGGTTCTTACCCTGGAAAGAGAACCCAGATTAATCGCTCTCCTGATAATAGTATTTTACACTGAAAGACAAAGGATCCAGAGACCAAAATGAGAAAGTGGCCATGAGGATGGCACCTGGGGTAAAAGAGCTGCCATTCAGAAAATAACAGCTCTGAACTTGAGAGATGTTGGCATCCCCTCTTTTCTCCAAAATGCTCACTACCGAGCACAATTGGGCCTTGTTTTCAACCGATTTTCTCAAACCGGTAAGGTTACAATTAGTTCCTCAATCTGTTTCCATTTCACTTTGTATTTTAAACATTAACTGCTTTGCATAGCCTTTTGATAAGCCTGAACATACACATGCTGCTTTTCATGAGGTTGCAAGAATGAATTAAAACATGAGACTGAACCTAAAAAACCCTGCTTCATATTCTATTTTCTCTTGGAAAACAGAGACTATGGTTCGTTTTGGTGTTTTGAAAGCCTGAGAGAGCTACGTGAGAGTATGTCTATGTACTTGGGATATATAGTAAAGGCACATGCATAACTGCAAGTTATGTAGCATAAATGCACTCCTGTTCCCCCAGGGCAGAAATACTGCAGAAATCAGATGCTGAAGCATAATCCCAATTCAACCCACCCCTTCACTGGCATGTTTCAGGCCCAGGAGCAAATCCGAGATCTGGGTCTGTTGTCCTGAGGATATGGACAACCACCCTTCTGGATGTGCTGGTGGAGAAGGTTACTACCTTCACGTGTCGCGCAAATATAGCACTAGAAGAGAGGGTACTAGTGAAACAGTGAAATATCCAATCTCTCAGCAAAGAAGCATGTGCAAACAGCCCCTAACCTATTCCAGACAAGTCAATCAGACCAGCTTGGACAAAATTAATTTGGTCTGAGCTGGCTCAGCTGATGCTGTCCAAAGCAGATGAGAAAGTTTGCATACACAGCCCCGCCAGCAGATCAGTCGTGTGCATAACCTCAGGAAGGAGGCAGTGATGAGCACACAGCAGCAGCTCCTTTTCCTAACTGCACCGCTGGATCCAGTGGTGAACATCTGTCCAGGCCTTATAAAATCACGTCAGTAGAATCAGAAGTTCTGCTTTAGAGAATGAGTGTACAGGTGGAAAACAGATCACATAAAACAAATGAAAATTATGAGTATCTGCCTTTTCACCCATGCCATCTTGGCACTACTTCTCTGTCCCTGTGGACAAAGTTTTCGCCACATGCTCCAGCGATGACACCGTAAATGAAAGCACTGCAGCATGCCTGGATGACCAGCAAAATCAAGCAGGGTGAAGATATGGCTACAGAACATTTCTGGCCACAGCTTCCAGTCCATCAGATGGTGTCGAGGCAGCTTCAGATGAGCTAACTCAAATGCTGCTGCTGGCGTGCAGCCACCTCAACACAGCGCTCGAGAAGCTAAGTCGGTCCTCCTGCGCTAGCCCACACCTAGCCCTGTGCCACCACCCGCGCTGGCACAGGTACGTCTACGCAACCTGGAGATGCAGCAGCCCTGACAGCTGTGCTGCCTGCTCCTTACCTGGTAATGAGCCTGGGCTTGCTGTGCGGAATTCAGAGTGACATTGCAGAGCTTACAGCACAGAGGCTTACATAGTTCCTCCAGCATAGGATCCTGCTCCACCACCTTTGCAAGCTCTTCTTGAGTCTGATGAAAGGAAGGCCCCAGTCCGAGTGATTTTGGTGGGGACAGTGGCGAGCTGGCTCTTGGCCTTGTAGCCACTGACATAGGAAGAGATGAAGGCTTTTCAGGATGAGGAAGGAGTCCTGCTTGCTGTAGAAGAATCATTGGCCAGGAAGACTGTGGGCATGCTACTTCTGAAGGATGAGGAGTCTTCTTCAGACCTAGACCAGAGAGGCACAAAGGCTGAAATGAGCAGCGCTAACAGGAACATCAATGATCCAGGAGACTTCTGTAACTTCACTGCCTCTACTTTACTCCTTTGCACAATGCCAAGCAAGATAAAGTCAGTTTGTAACACTTTACCCCACAGGAACAGCAGCACCTGGACAGCCAGGGCCACATTAAAAGATAGGTGCATAAGAAGTGGATTAAAGTCCACAATGTAGCTGTTAGTACCCTTGTGGCACCCTCCTGGACAGATGAAGATTCCTAACCGCTCGTAGTACCTGACCCACAGCACACCCCCCCCACCGCTCTGTAACCACTAGAAGATGCGATACACAACATGCACAGCTCAATCACAGAATCCCAGGTTGGAAGGGACCTCAGGGATCATCCGGTCCAACCTTTCTGGGCAAAAGCCCAGCCTAGACAAGATGGCCCAGCACCCTGTCCAGCTGCATCTTGAAAGTGTCCAATGTGGCGGAGTCAACCCCTCCCCTGAGGAGATTATTCCAAGGGTTGTCTGTTCTTGTGGTGAGAAATTTCCCTCCCATGTCCCATCAGAATCTTCTCAGAATTAACTTGTACCCATTGCCCCTCGTCTTTTCCATGTGTTGTTAATGGGAATGGGAGGGATACAACCGCTGGCCCCACCCTCTTCTGACAGCCCAAGGACAAGCTCACACCCCAAGACCTAAACAAATACTGCAGTGTGTCACTGCTACTGATGACTTAAAGAGAACCCAAATATTTCAAAGCAGAATTATTTTTTTTTTTATATGCAGGTAGGTATAAAATACACACACATACGCATCCCTCAAAGACCTTCCTGAGGGAAGATACTCTACAGTTAAGTTTTCTCAAGTAAGTCAACAAAAAGCAAAGAGTGGGAACCAACACGAGCACACCTCGTTGTACGCAGTCAGCTCCCAATGGTCTTGCTGAATGACCTTGAGCTACTTCTCACGTTTCCTTTACTAACTGCAACCGATGCAACATTTAAAGCTGTATCATCTTCTGCAAAATGGAGAGCTTATCCCATATTAACCTTTATTCAATTATTTTACAGTTAATTCAACTTCTTAGAACTAGCCCTACATTTCCAACACGGGGTTCTGAGAGGCTTATTTAATTAAAGTTTATAAATCACATCTAAAGCCGGGGATGAACATTCCTAGAATAATGCAGAGCAGTGATATTATGAATCAAGGCAGAGCTACTTTTGTTAACGTCTTATTAGCTTCTTATCGTAACAAATCCTGTTCACGGCTACACTGGGATCGAGAGAGGCGTTATCTTGGCCTCTGCAGATGACTTCCAGCCAGGGTGGCATTGGTAGCAACCATGCTTACACTACAGGCTTTGTTTGTTTAAGCAAATAGTGAGATGCATCTACATTTTATAACAACACTTCTGGAAAATTAGGGAAAGGTAAATTAAATGCCACCTCAGAACTTTGTTCCTAAGTCACTTTTGAAAATAGAATTTGACTTCAGAGGCATTTAGGAACCTGGAGAAGCAGATAGCATTTATCTGGGATAACTTCTGGGATTTTCAATCTGCTAAAATTAGCAGGAGGTAAATACCTTGCTATATTCAAGCTATGGAAAATCCCAGTTGATGCCTGCACTTTTAGGCACTGTATTATATTTGTAAGTCTGGCTCCAGAGAGGTCTATGTTCCACTAGGAAAAATGAAAAATAATTTCAAAAAAAAAGAAGAAAAATCAGTGGGACTGAAGCGCTCAAGTGACACAAGCACTTCTGAAATGTTTACCTCTAAAAACAGATTTCCAAATAATAGAAGATGGGAGGCAATGTAGTTATTACTAGTAACAAAAGGTAAGGAAAAGAAGAAATGGGGAGAAAAAAAAAAAAAAGCAGAGCATGCGTTGCCTTGGGGACAAGCTTTTAAGACAGCAATAGAGCCACCAGGAGTTTTTATGTTTTTAAATAGTCCTCCACCATCAAGGCTCTGAGAAATTCCAGGAGAACTATAGCCAACATGATGCCACCATAAAAACAAAATCAAAACTGCTATCACGAAAGCTAACCAAAACAAGACAAACCAGAATCCACCAGAGAGAAGCAAGAGGAAAACAGAGGAACGGTGTGGTGCCAATCAGCCATCAGCAGTGTAAATACTGTAGCGTTACCCAACCGCTCTCCACCTTTCAGCATACACACTCTTGGTTAACCAGAACTACGCAATAAGGTTTTGCTATCTTGAGTTTCCTCAACTAGTACTCTGCAGACCGTCTAATTAATTTCAGCGGGGCTACGGATGGAACAAGTTCATATTCCTGATGGTTAGATATATCGCAACGTGGGCCTATCAAGGCAGCTGAGATCAACTATGCAAGCAGGTAAGCATGCCACCCAATTTCAGAGTTTTATTACCCCACCGTAATGGGCCTCTTACCTTAAAATGGGAGTAAATTATAGCCAAATACTTCCTAGAACAATATAAAGAGATCTACGGTAAATGACAATCGGGATCCATCTGCTTAATTTTGCATGAGCGCTTCCTGCATCAAGTCTTCCATACGCGACTGTCACAGAGGGGATGTGTCATATACAAGAGAGGACACAGTGCATACAGGATCCACAGGGGAAAAAGTATAATGTAATATTCTTAGAAAATCTTTAATTGTAAGGTCACTTACTGTTTCTTTAAGTAAACAGTAGTCTGAAGATGAAATGAAGGCTGCATGGGCAATTTTAAAATTAGAACTTCTTGACTTGGCATATGCAACTCTGATTTTCTTCTAATGGTGATCTTTCATCACTGAAATTGCTGAAATTGGGTTGATTTCTTTCTTACAGATGTTATTTAAAAGAAAAAAATAATCACTCAAATTCAGCTTATTTACAAATCCCTTTAACCCTCCACTGCTGGCCACTAGATACCTTCTCCTGGACAGGGTAACAGGACATCTTTGACTCCTCCTTTCCCCTGGCATGAGAAGCTGCAAAATCTTGACACTAGGAAACAGCAGAGGAACGTGGTTCCTCAAGGAACCTCCGCCATCGAGGGCTCGTGCGTGTGACGGTACGGGCCGAGGCAGGGTAAGGACCCGCAGCCCTCCAGGGCAAGCCGAGGAGACACTCTGCCTCGAGACAGCATCGCTCGGCTCTCAGCCGTGCCTCCTCCTGCACGCCGCGTGGGCTAGGACACGCTCCCCCTCCGTGCCAGCCATCCTCGGGGGGACGCAGGGCAGACGCATGGCTGGGGCCTCCCCAGGGCAGCGCCAAAGAAGGAGACCCGGCCTCCGTGCCCCGGGTACCACGGCCCGGTAGCACCTGGGTGCTGTGGGTGGCACAGGCACCGGGGAGCAACCTCCCCAGCCACCGACAGCGCCGTTCGGGGAACGGGACGGGGATGGCCTTACCCCCAAGCACCCTTCGGCGGGGAAGGCGCAGGCACGATGCGGCCTTCCTCGGCCGCACGACACCCGCGTGGCCCCACCAGAATTAACTTTTAAGGGCAGCTGAGACAACTAATGGCAGTGACAGACACCTCTGCGAGCGAGGAACAAGCTGTGGGGTTGGGTTTGGGTTTTTTTCCAAAGGAAAAGACGCACTTCTCCTCGACATCATGCGCCGCGTGTGGTTCTGCGTTACAGCACTGGGCCTGCTGACCCCCTGCCGGGGAGGGCGTCCGGTAACCCCGAAAGAGGGGGGCATTGATCACCCCTCACGCCACCGGGGTGCCAGAAACCGCGGTGCGAACCCCGGCACCCCGGTAGACATTTCCGCAAAGCTGCGCGGCTGGCAGTCCCGGCGGCGGAGTCTGAGGGGGAAAAAAAAAAGAAATGAAAAGGAAAAAAATAAAAAAAAAAAAAAAAAAA